TCAAGCGCTGTAAAATACATTGACCGCGCCTTCTTTCCCTCCGTCTCCATGGTGACTCGCTTACTCTGCGCTCCGCTTATCAGGGCTTTATGTATCCTCGTCCGCGCGCTTCACTTGGGGTTAAAGCAACTCCGCGTTGACTGAACTACTTGTTATCAGCCTTTCTGAAACCGAATATTCCGAGTTGGACAGTTCGGGGTTACTCAACCCTGCGTATCGTTTTTCACTCTGAGTTTTCTAAACCGGCTTCCTGAAACAGGGCCCAGGTAATGAACTCATCATTTAATTCGGTGTGTTGAACCAGGGTGAGATCTAAACCCTGCAGGGCACCTTGAGGCCTGGACTTCCCCCACCCCTGCACTCTAGACACAAATATTTAGATGATGTTGAGTTTTGTTTTTTATTTTAAACAAATGGCACTCTTGTTTTTTTAATTCATGTTTTTTATCCCTAAAATAACTGGTTTAAAAGAGACCGAACGGAATATTCGGAAATAGGATGACTCATTGTATCATTTAGTGATCATTTCAGACTGAAAGTAGGAGGTACCTCCTTCTGAAAAGTAGGACTGACAATAAAATCAAGCTAAGCAAAAGAGACAATCATATACTTAAGCTAACCTATATCTATACACTCAGTCTTTACAATGTGGATAACTTCATATCACTCAACAGAGCACTTTGCTATCAGACTGCTGGCTTACTCTGAATTCAGTTTGACTTATTTAACACCAAAGCACAACAGCAGTCGCCTCAAGGTGCTTAATACAGTTAATACAGTAAGGTAAAGGTACAATAACGGACAAGCCCAACAATCAAATGATGAGCAAGCACTTGGCGACAGTGAAAAGGAAAAACTGCTTTTGAAAAATAAATAAACATTTTAAAAGGATGACCGGAACCAAAAAAACTGTATGTATTGATTAACCAGTGAAATTATAATAACCTCTTGTGGAGTTTACCCTAAAACAACTTCCTCTGGAAAGAATAGCCCGCATCTCTCCCACTGTGGAATGTGTGCCACGTCTCTCTCTTATAATGACTGTGGTGTTTAGTCTTTCTGTAGCGACGAAAGAGTCCGGCATCTAATAGTAACCCCTAGCACTTCCACCAATATATCAGTTAAACACTCAGACTTAGCTGGGCTAATGATCTCTCACGACACCTAGCCAGCGGCTAACAGCTGCTAACATCTGAAGGCTGTGGACGGGAAAACTTGCCTCCCACTGTTCCAGGAGCCGTGCCATGTCAGCATCATTGTAGTCTCGGATGTCCTTCTTTTTCTTGGCCTTTGCTTTAGTCTCGGTCTCTACAGCACAAAGCATGTGTGTGCAGAGCACAAGCACCGCGCATCTCCACAGAAAGCCAGACGCCATGTTTCCAGATGGTACCCTGTGATTGGCTGTGAAGTCTGCCGGTCACAAGACGAGAGGGGCGTGTCAAAAGAGTCCGGCCGGCATTGCAGACCGGTGGAGAATTTCAAAGTAAAGCCGGGAGGACCCACCGGGAGGACTACTACAGTCTACTATTATTACCGAGCACTGCTCCCTTAATCGTTATTATTGTTATTGTTTTTCAGGCAAATTAATCGACTTTCCGGGGCCTTAACGTGCTCAAATACATAGATACGTTATTGTTTGGGACATTTGAAAATGGCTCTAGAGCGCCACCTATGCAGACTATAATGAAGTACTACGGACGGACACGTAGTTTGAGCTACATTAATGAAAAATGTACACATATAACAAGCAAAGAGGGACAAAAAGCCTCTGGGCTCCTTGATCAAACCAAACAGGAAGTCCAATATTTTGAATTGAAGATAAAACTGGTGCCGATTTTACTATTTTCAAAGTGTTCATTCAATAAACGTTATAATTATATTATAATTATACTATACTATATTTGCACACTTTGCATCTTGCACATGTCTTTGTCTCGTCTATAATATCCTGACAATAACTTGAACATGGTATGCAATTACACTGCACAACCCACTTTGTATTGTCTCTGTCCTGCCTTTGTTTATCGTACAGGCAGTATTGTATAGTTATCATTATAGTATTGTATAGTTAGTAATTGATATATTTTTATCCCTTAATTTTACCGAAACTTAGCCTATTATTTATTTGTAATTCCTAGTTGTATATCTCTTGGAGATATATCTTTTATATACTTATAAATGCACCATAGGGGGTGAAACAGCATTTGATTATACTTTGTATACTGCTGTATTGACAATAAAGCTTTTGAATCTTGAATAATTGTTCAGTGTACACTACAGACCTGGGCTATAGGGTGCATCTATGGCGCCACAGCAAATTTCAATCATTTGCCATGACATTTTTATTATAATACCGTGTCCAATCTGGCTCAATCTTCTCAATTGTGATAAGAGCGTGCCCCTGAACACATTTTTTATTTGCAGTGTTTAACAATCATCACATCTCCACTTAGTACGCACAGAAAATATCATGTTTTACACTTTGAGGTATAGCTTCAAGGTGGTTACACTTGAGCAACTTGAACTTTGGACATGAAAAGCCTTAAGGAGTTGGTCTTAGTGTATGTTTAGTTTATGTACATCAGGTTTTAATGATGCTTTGACATGAAATTTGTTTTTATTTAATGGTGCACCCTGGTGACATGATAATCGAGGGGTTTGGAAAGCTTAAAAGGTCGTGAAATTTAGCACGCACCTTGAATGTGATGTGAGCTTTTCAGGTTAACTCTTTTCATTGGATGTTACAAATTGGCCCAACAGTGCCACCTACAAAATCTGAAAAAGGCTTGAGTGTCCACACCACCCACCCCTCTAATAGCTGGACATTTATTAAGGAGCAGTTCTGGGACTTGTGTTAAACACCTGTTGGTGATGGGAGTGTGATGCATGTGCAGTGCACAACTATTACTGTAGAATAAGTGATCTTGGATTTGTAATCTAGTTGACTGGTTTTTATATAAAGTGCTTTTACTCTACCTGTAGAGTAAAAGCACTTTATACAACTTCCCTCATTTACCCATTCATGCAAGGACTTCTATATGGAAGTGCTTTTGGATGCATCAGAGGGGAACTTGGGTTCCGTATATTGTCAAAAGATATTTGGCATGCAGACTGGAGCAGCCAAGGATCGAACCAATTCAATTCAGTTTTATTTACACAGCACCAAATCACAAGAACAGTGAGCTACAGGTGCTTAATACTGTAAGGTAAAAACCCAACAATACAGATAACCCCTTATGAGAAAGCATTGGGCGACAGTGGGAAGGAAAAACTCCCTTTTAAGAATTGGCTGGAGGTGAGAGATAAGACAACCAACACTATAGAAGAGAGCCAAAGATAATAAGTAATGACTCAATGCAGAGAGGTGTTTCAACACACAGTCTTGCATGAATGGGGTCTAAAAGACAAGGTGATGTTTTGGAGGAAGTAACTACTTAAGTTAACTCACTGTTCATTCACTGAACAGGGTTTAGTGATTTAAAACTATTGCACTCCTCTTCGTCTTTCAGCTTTTCCTTAGAGTTGGTCACATCTGCCTTCATCTCATGTCACGCCAAACCTCTGCATGTCCTCCTTCAATCTTCTCTGTGGTCTTCTTGTTTGTACTGGAGTGACCCAAAAGTCAGATATTTAAACAAAAACTTTCACAAAAACGTCTGAACCTTTTATTCAAGAGGTGGAGATGTTAGATGCTCTACAGAAACAGTAATATACAATTTTCTTAGCATCATTACCCAAGCAGATACATGCACATAACTCCTGCGGGTGTTTCGCTCTGAGTCAACCCTGCTGTGCACGGCCAGCACTCAGAATTTGGCTAAAACCTCGACACATACAGACAACTAGAGTTGCCACGCTAAGTGTTAGTAGCAGAGCTCCCTGTATCTTCTACAGCTTTGATGGTGCCGTGTTTACTGCTGATGTGCAGGGTCATTTCCTTGCGGTTGGTTACTACATGGCCACACTGTACACATGTATAGCGCCCCCTGGTGTGCTCCCAAAGGATGCGTCTGCTGCAGGCCAAACCTAATGCACAAAACAAATAACTGATTTGCTGACTGATTAAACTTACACAAAAGCAGTCAAAAGCATGCTAACGTCACAGGATACATTTAAGGCTTTGCAAAAGGTGACGGGTTTCATCTGCGACCATTTTTAATCATCCTTTCAAAAACAATGATCAACCAGGAAACTACTTTATTTAACTACTGCTGCACTTGCGCTGGGCTGAGTAACTGTTCCCATGGTGCTAGTCTGCAGTGAACCCGAACTCACCTGGACTCTTCTTCCAGATAGCCGATGACCCAGGAGGAGAATGAGGTGCTGATCCTGGAGCAGGAGGGATGGGCTCAGGTGACCTGGTCTGTGGCTGGTGCTGAACCTGGAACTCAGGAGGGTCAGCGCTTGCTTTTAGACCATCCATCTTTAGACATGGGGGCATGTTAGGGGCTTTTTCCTTAGGCAAAGTACGAGCTTCATTAATGTTTTGAAGAGGGGAGGTTTCTTGGAGATGCAAGATAGGGGAACTGAGCAGAGGTGGGGCTGAGGAGTGTGCCTGAGGATCAGCAGGGCGGATGGCTCCATCTGGGTTTGGGATTTGAGGCGGCAGTTGCTGGGGTGCAGACACCGACTCCAGCCATGGGAGGTGCTGCTCTGTGGGTTTTGGGTTGGTAACAGCAGCAAGCTGAGGGGGTGTCTGTTCAACAGGCTTCGTTTTACTCCGTGTGACTTTAGAACAGGTGTGCAGGTGAGTCAGCAGGCCACGGTATGAGCGCAACTTAGTGCGACAGCTTTCACACCTGCAGAAAGAGAAGCCAGACGATTGTAAACATGTCTACGGCTCACTGACAGCACATCGGCACATCTGGAGAACACAGGCCAACTCACTGGAAGAAAATGTTGGGTTTGTGATGATGCCTCATGTGCTCCATCAGTTTCTGCATGTTGGAGAAAGAACCACCGCAGCCGACAGTAGAGCACAGCAGCACTTTACCTAAGGAGATCAAAAATAGTGTTTGTCATCTGATACAACCTTTGTTGTCCACAGGAACATGCAGAAACTGTAAGGCAAGATTTTTGGGATTCAGCTAGAATCTGACATTTAGAATATACTATTAGGGTACTGGGTGAAAAGCCCTCCCCTCTGCCCGACACATTTGCAGAACCATAAGTCAGCAGGTTATCTGATGGGTTCCTAGCTTACTTCTCTTCTAACATCACGGTTGTTAGTTTCTGCTTATTTCCTACGCTCTTTTTATCATCCATCCATCCATCCATTCGCTTCCGCTTATCCTTTTCAGGGTCGCGGGGGGCGCTGGAGCCTATCCCAGCTGTCATAGGGCGAGAGGCGGGGTACACCCTGGACAGGTCGCCAGTCTGTCGCAGGGCCAACACACAGGGACAGACAACCATTCGCACCTAGTGGCAATTTGGATTATCCAATTAACCTATCCCCACGGTCACTATGGTTCAAATAACATTTGAGTATCTATCATTTATTAGCACCAGCCCTTATTACAGGAATAACTTTGGACGACAGTGGTGTACTTCTGAACAGGAAAAACATCGTCACACACTTGAACATCATTTGAGTGTTTTCAGGATTCGGTTACACTTTATTCTAAAGCAACATAACAAATAGACTAAAAACACGGAGACGGTGCGAAACGTCTCACTGAACAAAACCACAGCCGTGAATAACAGCAGAACTCAGACTGTTAACCATTAATGATGACCAGTTACTTTAAGAGTCCCAGTGCAGTACAGCAGACAACAGCACGTCCACAGTACAGCCATCACTGCCACATGTGTTACAGCAAACAACGCAGTCACACTGTCTAAAGAAATTATACCAAGTTTCATATCATGAACACAAACACATGTTTTGATGGAAAGCACTGTTCAGGACTGGAGACTGATAGAAATAAACCATGTTTGCTTTTATTATGCGCTTCAATACTGGTTTATTTCCAGCTGCAACCTTATTTGTTTATGTCCACAGTTGGAGTGCAGGACCTCACCAGGTAGAGACTGAGCCGGGATATCATGATCTTTGATGTGGCTCTCCAGAGCACTTGTGTCGCTGTACACTCTCTTACAGGCGTGCAACGGACACGGTATCCTCTTGTTTCCTGAAATGGACAAAGACGACTTAAAAGCTGACACAAACACAACTATTCATGGAACGCAACATCATGTAAATCACATCAAGAATTTAGTAACTTGTCTGGAGCTGCTTAGCTAGCTGGGCTAATGTTAGTGAACACAGACGTGGTTTTGCCATCTTGCTCGTGACTATGGCTTGTGAGGCATTCCTATAAAGTATAAAATGCCAGACTTTGACACTACCGTTGATGTTTGAATGAAAGAAGCAGGTCTAAGTTTCACAGGCCAGAAGCTCAATGTTTTTCCAGCCTTACAAACATGTTTGATTAAGTAATCCT